AAGCAGATGACACATTGTCAAATTAGAAAGACAGACGGATGGGTGAGGTGAAGTGGGTGAAGGAGGGAGGAGTTTTATGGAATCTGACATGATGAGATGACAAGAAGAAATTTAGCCCCCGCCTTCCATCTACCCTAAGGACTCTGTAGAGGTCAGGGTCAACGTACCACTGTCCCCCTGATTCATGGCACAGTGAGACACTAACATGCAGGTACATTCACATTTATCACAGCAGAAGCTGGAGAAAACACTTGTTTTGATGCCAAAAGCAGAGGAAGAGACTACAGATCAGTTTTCTCTTGAGAGAATTTAGAGTGAAAGTATTTTATTGGTTTGGTTTAGAAAAAGGTACCAGTGGGGAATGAATGCAGTCTCTTGAAATGTGAAATACAGGCAGCAATACAGCAAAAACAAAGACACGCATCTTCGATCACACACCACCTTTATATGTTATCAATTATATTCACATTGATTCACATATAACTGAGGAGTTAGGAGACTTTTATGCCACTTGCAGCAGAACTAGCTGAAACCATAGCACTCATAAATTACTTGATCAAGTTAATAGTCGCTACCTTTGTGTGCCTGCTGTTGGAGCAGGACAGATAGCTTACAGTTGGCTCTTCTGCACATTTATTTGCAACTAATATAATCTGGACCCAGAATGGAAGCTAGCAATACGCTAAGCTCGCACACTCTGAGGAAAACTGTAGTCAAGTATATTTTGTTCACATTACTCATTACCATTGACATAATAGCTAATAACATACTATAAACATACTACAAGGAGTTTTTTTAACCTGTCATGAAACAGTCTCAATTTAATACTGATGCCTCTATATGACCATCAGCGAGAAGACTGGCTGTTTCTATATAGTTATTCTCAATGTCTGCCACCAGGTCCGATTCAGTCAGATTCCCCTTTAAATCAATGAAACGAGGTGGTGGAAACACTACCGCTTTTGTCCACAGGGGCCGCCAGAATCAACAAAAAATAAAACGAATAAACCTTTTGGTCTCTGAAAACATATATAATAATAATAATTTTGGTAATGGAACGTAATCGAGTTTTCTCCATGACTGCAGAGCAAACCCACCCACTGATGAAGACTGTGAGAGGCAGTTAAAAGCTCCGGAAAAGCTAGTGACTGGACCACTCATTAAACAGAGAATACATTTTTTGGTATCCTGTTCCCACTTTATCCAATAATAATAATAATAATAANNTCATCAGAGGATCTCAAAGTGCTAGCTGCCAATCAGTGCTGAATGTCAGTGTGGAGGAGGGGGGGAACTGCTCACTGCAAGAATGGACAAAATGTCCATTTCACTTACAGTACCTCTAAATTACGGTAACTTAGATTGACAAGTGTTCTAGTTTTCAAGTGATTATATATTATATGTTTTATATATATACAGTACATAGCTCATTGCTCACAGTAAAAAAAAATTCTTAACGGACTTAAATAAAAGTTAAATACAATAAAATCAGTAAGGTTACCAACAGACTTCATTAATTACTTTCTGCCAGCAGCTCAGTACAGTGCTCCTTCAGGTTCCCACCAGCTGGACGGTACACACACACACACACACCCCTCATCCTCAGAGGAATTTCAGGCTGGCATCCTGACCTGCCTAGACTCACTCTGTGGACCAACTCCAGCTCTCTGACTGATGACTGTGATTATCTGCGCAGCTCCCTCACTCGGTATCTGCGTGTTGTTTTGGGAACTCGCTCCCAGACTGCATCCTACATATGAAGCCTGGCTGATTTCCAGGAACCCACACTGTCCATCTGCCAGACTATACTGGCCTCACACTCTCCTATGTATATGCTGTTTGTGTGTGTGAACACATGGACTGCAATTCCCACTTGCTGGGCACCAAATGTCACATTAATCCAATGTTAACCAATTAAGAACAACTGATTTGACAGTTGAAATTAACCCTTTCTCGGTAAAACAAATAAAATCAAATTGACCTTTCACATTTTTCAAGTATCTCTTAAAACAACTCCCAAGTCCCACGTGTGTACTGAAACTGTTTTTAGTTGCTTTAAGTGTTCTTTGTGCGCATACTGGCTGTAAAGAGATTCTATTTAAATGATGCCCAAAACCCACTTAATTGTTCTTAAGTTTAGCTGGGAAACACAAAGAAGGATTTTCAAGCTGGTGAAGTTTGACCCCCATCATTGAATCCCACAGTTGTCTCTGCAGGCTGGTAGCGAGGTAGAAACAAGCATCAAATTGTTACCACCTGAGTCTAATTTGGATCTTGGCAAATAAACACTGAGCATTACTGCCATCAATTTCACCCAAAAGGACTTTACTTGTGGTAAAGTAAGTCCTGAAAAGTAAGTATGATGTAGTTCAGTGAGTGTTTGCAGAGGATGAATGACATCAGGGAAACAATTATTTCATATAATTTAATTACTCAAAATCATGCCTGGCTCAGTCTCTTCCTAAGCTGATGGTCTGTTAGCTTGTTTAAAAAATAAAGCAGTTGTCTTTCTGATCAGTGAAACCAGACAAATGGTAAGGATTTGAAAAGAAAGTAAATAAGCCATAAAAACATCTGACTTCGTTCTGAAACTATTTCTCAGCATACAGAAAGAGAAGATCCCCAGAACATATTATTTTTCCCCAACTGGGCACAGGGATGTTGTGTTTGTGGGATGTGTTCAGCTCACCACACTGCTGCCATCTACTGGGAGGAACCACATCCTGTGACATTTTAAGACAACAGAGCCTTTAGGCTTAATACACAGTATAGAGTTTTATTGTTTATATTAAATCAGAGAGATAAGCACTATTACAAACCAAGAACATTTTATATCTTGGGGGGAAAAACAATCTCAAATGACATTACAAAAAAAAAAGTAGTAACACTAGTGGACAAAAAAAAAAAAAACATTCTTTAAATAACAGAACTGTACATTTTAATATGCAACTAAAAAAAAATAAGACACAAAAAAAAAACAACAACGAACGAAACAGTGACAGGAAAGAACAATGGGCAGTTAGTACCAAACAGAGCGAAAGCTAAAGGGAAGTGATTACTAGCTGATACAGGTCACTGCTGGAATATGAAAAGTCAAAATACAACAAAGTAAGGCAGCAAAAGGCAGGCGTTTAGACAGCAGCAAACAGGCTGGGACAGAGGGAGGAACGGACAAAAAGAAAACATAAAACAGGAACATTAACCTGCAAAGTGGCTCCGTCACTCACCCACTGTCTTATAGAGTTAAACAGAGCAGGTAAAAACGTATAACAGCTGTAATCCAATATAAACTCTTATAAAACAACCTCACGATAACCCCAACACCCCCACGTTCTTTCGTATTTGACAAATAATCACACTGAATCTCTTTCACACACTCGCAGAAGAACTCACGGTCCACACAGTGCCAGTGTGACATCTTCTGACCCAAAAAGTAAAAAATAAACTAAAATAAACAAACAGTGCCAAGCACCATTTGGTCTGCAATCCAAAATGTTGCACGAGTTCCTTTTTAAATCGTTCACCATGAATGTTCTTGTTCTCTGACTGCAGGAGCAAACACACACTGTGGACACTGGACACATGTAACATTGTGATTTCTAGTAAATTTGATCCCCCCACATTGTCAACATAACAAAACAAACCTGCAAGCTATGTTACACTGCATAATGTACAAGTCGCACCTGTTCAACAGGTTCCACTTAATTGAGAAAAGTTGCATAGCTAAAGAAGCAAAGTAAGACATTTGCTCCAAAATCCTTTCAGAAGCAATATTAAAAATAGCTCTTTGACTTTATTAAAACAGACACTAGGGGGCACTCAATGCCCTAAATGGCAGAGTTATTACATAATCAAGTGTATATATGAGCTCCTTACAAAACCCAAAGCCCAGAAAATAACATTTTATGAATTTTTTCACAACATATCAAAATGAAACACCTGAT